TTAGCACAGTGAAGCAGTGGGTGGTGCAGTTCAACAGTGGCAAAAGCAATGTAAAGGACAAGCCACGTCCCGGATAGCCATGCCAATTTTCACAAGTACGAAATGTAGGCTTTTGTCCATTGCTGGTGAAAATGCATAGCTAATGGTGGTGATTGTGTTTAAAAATAGAGTTTTGTAGATGAAAAAAATTTCTCTATCAAATAGTGTTACTGTGCTCTTCATATTGGTTGTAATTTCCATGGAAATAAATATGAGGCATTACATTTGGAGCAGCCTATGTACTTTTTACAGCTTAAATAGGCTTCAGGCTGTAGGGAAGGTCTGTGCTTTCATTCTCAGAAAAGAAGTTACAAAAAAAATTCCTACTCATCTCATCTTTTTAGTCTCATAATTTGCATTGTATGTAATGAAAAATGATTATGAACAGGGTTTTACAAGTGAACTATAGGCTACAGTAGAGGACTCGAACCGTCAGAAGTGTTCATGAACCATTAAAAATTAAAAGTAATATAATTCCGTACTCTTCAGGTATAGTTCAGCTCTAAATTCAAGTTCCCACTGAAACTACTTACATTTTGCTCATCACCAAAAAACGTGAACTGGGTAGTCATCAGTTCTGGTTTCAGACACCAACTTTCCCTTGCTGCAGAATATAGCTGAAACACTTCACGTCATACATCACAGAGCACTGAATCAAATGATTTACGAGTACCTCACAAGGAACTGATGCTTCTAATTCATCAATCAAAAGTGTAAGCTGCAACAAAAATCATAGAGTTTTTGGTATCCTCACATACCCATCAAGGCACATGGAAACATAAGGCAAATAGAAAACTCCTGCCAGGTTTACGAAGAATCCTAGGAATTTTCATGCATGCGTGCTCTTACCCTCCCACTAAGCTGTTCTAAGGGTGCCAGAGCAACCGAGGAACTTCCACATATCTCTGCTTCAGGGTCTCTAGTGCTGCAGTATGGCATTAAGCTCCACAGGGCTTGGATTCCTCATCCCCAATCTCAGACTGGGCAGTTTTACACTGGGACTCCCCTCACAAAGGAAAAATAGCATTTCTCCCTTTCTACAGACAGTAAATCCATATATGCTGATTTGGTATTTTATACCTAGAATTTTGTTTTTGGTTCCATCTTGTTTGCAGAAAGACCAAGAAAAAATGATAATACAGTGATAAACCTTCTTTTGCATTAGTCTGGTATTTCTAGTACATTCCCTCTTCTCCCCATGGTACATTTCCAGTATATTAGCAATATGACACATTGCTTCATCTAGACTCTGTGGATTATTGAAGTATTTCTTCCTCTTAATGAGATAAATTGGGCATTTGTTTACCATAAGTCCTGCCTTACTCATTTCAGGCTGTGGTAAATGTTTGTTCAATGTCCCCTATCAGCTAGAGTAATAACTCATATTCTTAGGGGATCACAGTGTCTCACTATTAAGACAAATGTTTTCGCTTTTTTTTTTCTTTTCTGAAATTTCATTATGTACAAAGTAATTTCCTCTCTGTAAGTTATTTATGCTGTTGCAAGCGCTAAGGAAGGATCACAGTTCATTCAAACATCAAGAGACAAAAAGAAAATCCACATAGAAAGCAATGTCTCTGAAGAACTGCCCTAGAGCAAACATAGCTTAACCTAGAAAATTAGTTTCTCTGAAGAAGCATGAAGAACACGAAAAGGAAGAATAACCTGGGTGGACTATCTCGCTCTCCAAAGTGTGTTTCCCCTTGATGAGCTTGCTGCCCCATTTTACACAGTCAGGGAGTGTGGATCCAGCCAGATTATTAGAGCCAGCTCTGCCCTGAGTATAAAAAGCTCCTTATGGCACAAACTTGCTGCGTTGATAGCTTTGTGCATTTAAAATGCCTGCAACTGCATCTTGCATCTATATACCTTTAGAAGAGTTTGTTTTTTTCAGTGTTGTTTCAATGATAGGGAACTTTGTCTAAAAGTTGTTTTATAAGTGAACTTGAACACTGTTTTCTTACTGCACAAAAATACTGATTTTAAACCTCTGTTTGCACTTAACTCCCAACTAGCCAGCAGGAAACCACGAGGCTTAGATTCATTAGTTCAAGTTAGAAAAAAAACTGAGATGCAGTACTACTGGCCATTCACATTTTCCATGGGATTTTTATCTCACACAGCCTGCTGAGACATTATTTTACGAAGCAGTGATAGATAGCCTTGTCATACTGCTGAGGCTAACTGTTGCTTTTGATTCTAAAAACTGCAACGCTACAAGTTTACAATGGAAAAAAGAAAACAGATGTTAAAACTGCTGTAGTCTCTGGGGACAAAATTACAGCTCATTTCTGGTATTGTGAGTAGCTAGACTCAGTGTAATTACAGTCTCATTTTAATCCCAAAATTAAATGGATTTCTCCTTGGCACTTCCCAGCTCATGGGCTCACTGCTATGTAGCAATGCACGTTAAACTGTGCTCCAATTTACTGTCGGGCCAGCAAGTACTAGAAATGTGTATGTACATAAAGTGTGTTTGAACCACTGGAGGGTGGGCATGACTAAGCTATATACTCTAGCAGAGCCTCCATCGATCTTTTTTAGCTTCTTAAACCCCTTTGAATGTGGATTTTAACTTTTGTGCCTTAAATTTCCTTGATTATCTTGAGTCTTATGATAGTTCTTTCTTTCAAAAATCATCAAATTTTATTTTAGAGAAAGAAATTCTAGTGCTTATACCTTCAGAAAACATCTCAAAAACTTGACCATAAAAGCTCAGAAAACAGGAGAAAACTAAAATGACCTTTTTTTTCCTTTTCTTCTCTCCTCTTTGACTCTCCCTTCCCCCCCACCTTTTTTTTTTTTTTTTTTTTTTTTTTTTTAATAATTTTATGATTTGGAAAGTGGTAAAAAAGAGTCATGATTTCTGAAGATATGCAATTCATCCTTCACAAACTGCTGTAGCTTTATTGTGTGTTCCAGACGAGTAAAGACAACCTTCTCTAAATGGAATTTAGGATTGCAAAGGTAATAAAAATAATTCCATTTCTATTATACATTTTAAAAAATAAACAGAAATATGCCAACATCCTAAAGTTTAAGTTAAGTTTTCTGATGAATAATTTGTTCAGGAGAAGGTAGAGTCCCCAGGACACATTGGTCCAAAGGCTCATCACAACACAGGTTCTTTCTTGAAAGACAAATATCAAAAACTTCCTTGTCACCTACTGTAGTCATATGCACACACTTCTGCCAATATATCTTTTAATGTGGCATCACCTTCTACACCTTCAAAACCTTCCCTTCAGTTCTCAAATATTCAGAGGGATGTCACCACCTTCGCTTGTCCTACCCAGTGCTTGCCTAGACTCCTGAGACTCTCTGCTCTTGAGATATCCTCCTTCACTTGCTTCTTGCCTGACTGAAGAAACCTTGCACTAGGTCCCTTCTGGTCTCTGACCTTCTCCCTAGTCTATGGAGAAGGTACCTTTATATGTTCTTCCTTTGAGTAACTTACGTACAGAGTCCTACTCTTCTTTCTGTTGCTCCTCCTCTACCCTTGAGCCCAACTTCTTATAGTTTCTCTTCCTGCTTGATACTATCTGCCCCTAAAATTTATTAAAGAATGCCTGTATGGCCTTGGGACATAGAAGTTGGATTTCAACTTAAAACAGCAGGACTGCCAAATCTGCATAAGCCCTGTTATGTAAAAATGGCAGAGCAGTCACAACAGTATAGGCAGAACCTTGGGACCAGGACTTCTCCTTATCTAACTCATACCCTGATAATTTTAAAATGCTTCTGTCATCACATCCTCCATTTATCCTCATGATTAATGAGCCTGGGTACATCTGAGGTCAGACTGCCAACATTGCAAAATCCAGCCATCGTTCAGCTTTTCCCATACAGGAAACAAATACCACAATCTTTCACTGGAGGAAACTGATTTGATTTCACTTGCAAATTCCCTCTCCTTACATTATTCCAGATAGTACTGCATGGATACTGCAGTACTTTTCCTCTTTTTACATACTGTGAAATACTTGGCTGGGAATTCTCCATGCTCTAATGTGTTTGATCAAGCATTTAACTACCTCCTATAATTTAATTGTAAAATGAACACTTCCTCCTCCTTCAGATGATGTTTCCATGGAAACTGGTCATGGTATTGTTGCTACAGAATACAGGGATTTTATTAATGGGTCTTTCTATTACTTCTGAATTTAAAAAACAGCTCTTGCTCAGAGTCTTGAGGCTTCCACATTTCTCATTTGTTGCAGAAAAATATATTCAAGTAATGAGGTATATAAAACAGGCTACAATAACAGAGTAAGAGAGCCTAAATTCTTCGCTCTGTAGAACTTAGGCTGAGAAGCGATAGTTCAGGTGGAGTTGCATTTTCCATTTAAAACTGTTCATGTAGAATGAAACCAGATACCTGTTATGTGGTAGTATATTTTTGATTTCAGAAGTTGATTCTAGGCATCACTGATTAGAGACATTTTTAGTCCAGTGGGAGTCTCCCAAAAACCAATTACATGTGAGAAGCACCATTAGTGTGAGGGAAGCATCAACTACTTATCTTTTTGATACACCTTCTTATCAGCAAGCATGCTTAGCAACACCTTTCTACAACTATCCATGTGAATATCCAGACCACAAAGCAGATCCCATTTTATCATGCCAAATTATATCACACTGTGTCCATAGACACTGTGAGTAAATGGACTCAATCTTTTACACCATGAAACTTCCACGTAGGACAAGAAGCTTTTTGATAACTGAGCCATGATTGACCTCTGTTTCAGTCAGGAAAGACTTTCTGGTATTTGGTCTCCATCTGGGAAAAATCTAAAGCAAAGTCTACGTCTGTTCTACCTAGCAGCATGGAAAGATTGGATTTATGCTGTGGTATTAAGGAACATTCACAGCTAAAAATTTGGAGAAGTCTCTTCCACTCAGTGTATTCACTGATTTTACCCTACAAAGCAAACTTTTCTACTCACCTAGAAAATACTTACGTGACTATTACAAAAAGAGAATTCAGCTCTGGGTACTGCTCCTCCTGAAGGATGCCTGAAGAGTCAGGTGGTGAAGCCACAAAGCATGTTTATGCTTAAACTAGGTCTCCAAGGTTTCATCTCCAACTGCTAGGATTAAAGAAATATTTCCTAAAAGGAAGAATGTGAAATGGTAGAAATTATACAGTGTCCCTTATCTCCTTCAAATCTATGTAGACTTCTAGTTGGTAAGTCCTGGAGAAATGAGAAAACTGCAAAAACCTGTTTTGCTGATATAATTTTACATTGAAAAGAGAAAGAGCAAGCCCTTATCTAGAAGTTATGCTAGCACTCAAAGAAGAAAAATAACCATGTTATGTATATTATATATATTATATATTGTCATGCATACATGACAATTTTACTTCCTCTTCTGTTACTAAACACAAAATGGTCTTTGTCATCCATTTCTTTTGTGTTTTTGCTGTTAATTAGCAAGTCCAGAATAAAGAAAACATGACTTAAAAGAAGTCAACAGGAGGCACCGTTCTGATTACATATGAAGATGCCATGGTATCTTACTAAAGAAATCCCATCTTACAACTTAGCCAGCTATATCTGGAGGTTTCAATTTGTTACTTTTGATCTAGGATTATATGACCCCTTTTCCTCATGTCAATTAACTACTTAAGAATTTGCTGAACATCCTGTGATCTTTGATGAAGCTCTTCTCAGTGCTTTTCATCTGTTTACAGAGCTCCATTTAATAATACTGGCAAGATAATGTCATCCGAAGTCTTGATATTTGTGAGAATGACAGTCATCTTTGGCACTGCTACAAATCATTATAGATTCTCCTGAAACATAAGGTTTTCCCATTTGGTAATCCCGTTTTTGGAGCTGTTGGGGAAAAAGTATTTAAGTATGTTCTTTTTTTGATGCTAATATCTGAATTGCACCAGGTAACAAATGGCTCACAATGAAAGAATTCCCATAGTCCATTGTTAGGATGTGTCTAATGTTTCTACTACTAAATGATCAGTACAAATAACAAGTATAACAGAATTAAATGACATGGAAAGAATACCTTTCGATACTGCTACCTCTGTTTTTACCTACAAGCAAACCTTGCATTTTCTAAGGAAAATGGAAGATAAAGATCTATAGACTCCATATCATTTGCTGCATGTGAGAAAATGTTGCTTGACTATGCATAAATCATACCCAAAAGCATTGCTAGATATCAGGAAGAATTTTATTTTATTTTCCCCGCTCCTCTACAGATTTTTTTTTTTTTAGTGGAGCAGTTTTGTTTTATTTTCAATTTACCCTGCTGATTTTGAAATGAGGAGAGCTAGCAACTCTTTGCCAGTTTCACAGACTTTAATACACTTGCTAGATGAAGTGTTCTGATAGCTTTCCCATGGCCTCCTGAATTTTACAGCTTTTAAGTCTGAAAAAAAAACCACACCTGTCTGTAAAAGCTATTTCTATAACACTGTATAGATGGAGAAGAACTAGGTTTTATAGCAAAGAGGAATCTAAGCTGGTTTTCCCTACTGCTGACTTCAGACACTCACCTTTACTTCAGTGAAGCTCTACATTTTTTGCAGTCCAGTTCCTTCCCTTGTAAGATGTAAAGACACAACTTGCTTCACAGTCACAAGGTATTACCGGTCACTTGTTAAATTAAAAACTGGCAGAGTCCGTACCATGTCCTCCCTGTCCCTTGTCCAGATATTCCCATGCCTGATCCTCCACAGAGCTAGAAATGGCAGGATTGCATACTCATGTGAGTCTGGTGAAGACAATTAACTTCAATCTCCACTGGATATTCTTTTGACTGTCTGCATCCCAGCTATGGCAACAAAGTGATTCTTTTCACTTGAAAAATGAATTTTCATTCTTTTCATTCATGTGACCATTTACACAAAAAACAAGCCCACTACTAGTATGCATGGAAGATAATATTCAGAGCTGGGTAGAGAGATTTGACGGTACTTAATTAATTGAGGAGGCTTTTGGAGTGCCAGCCTGCAGAATTTATGCATTAGTTTGTTGCCACTGCCATTTTCTGAAGTTGTAACATCATGACTTGAAGACTGACTGGATAAGAGCTTCTAAAGGCCATTTTACTTTAAAGAAAGGAAACAAAGATTTGCCACATTATATTTCCTTAGCTGGACAGTGGAGCTCAATTCATTTATTATTAATTCTGTAATCATTACCTAGAGCATTCTTCTCAAAAGAAAGCAAGATTAGTGAGAACAGTTATAACATCTTTGAGAAACATTTTATATCAACAAGGATTGTAATGCGTGTAAACTATACTTTGATGAGAATAAGGAGAGGGACTGTGCAGAAACATGCAGAGCATCATACTGTGGAGTCCCTAGAAGCAGGGCTTACAGCATCAGGCACTACAATCTGCTGTCTTATCCATAAATATTTTACAATATATAAAGTTCACACTTTTCTCTTAAAATTACTGCATAGTCTTTTTTAGAAAAGAAACTTACCCATGAAATTCCAGTACTAAAACACTAATACAGTTTTTACTTAAAGTCTTAAGACAAACAAATATCTTTAAAACAGCTAAATCAAGTAGCCATCCCATTTTGTCTAATGCACGGATGTTGTGACTTGGGTCTGCTGGCAAGAACTACCATCAGCAGACTGAGTCAAAGTATAGCTTTGTAAAGAACAACTTATAAAAGCAAGTGCTTATACTCTGCTTCTGATATTTTATTGATCAGTGTGGGTGTTCAAATGGTGATTTTCCGCTGCCAGCTCTGCTGAGTAATAACTTGTGAGCTCTTTAAATATTAAATATAGCTGGAAGACTTGTTTTCCACAGACAGGGGAATCCCATTGTTTAGATCTTTTTTTTTAGGGTTATTGTATTACGAATAATTGAAGAAACAGAACCAAAAGCTCTAAGCAGCTCTTCCACAGCTCTGAGAAGAGCTGGCTAAGAACTAATGGAAAAATGACCCAAAGTTTGGTGGTTCATTTCATTAGCTTTTAAACACTGGTATTATTCTCATAAGCAAATTGTAATTTGCAACAAACAAATCACGAAAGCTGATCTGGAAACATTCCACATATCAATGTAATCTAGATTTCCAATAGTCTTTTTAGTTTTCTTGGCAGAAATCCTAGGAACAGAAATCAAACAGATCATAAAAGACAGGAGCATTAATGCTAGGAGATTAGTGAAGCAAGGTTTTGCAAGGACACTAAAAGGTCCTCAGACAAAGCCAGCTCTTCTAACTGGATTAGAAATAAAGATGTACACATATTGTCTGATTACCTTGTGGCTGTTGGCTACAAGATAGGCTGGTATTGAATCTGCAATACCTGGTGCTTGCGCTCAGAATTGCTCCATTATAAACAAGGATGTATTCACAATTCTTCTGAATAAATTGATCCTGTCTTTATCTGAAGATAAATAGGCTTATATTTTTCATACATGGAGTTGTCAAACTGCTGAAAAAAAAAATACACAAGGTAATTTGGTTGTACTATATGTAAATTGGCTGTAAAGCAGAGAAGAATGGCAAGCTGAACCTGGAAACAGTTTATTTATCAACACTAAAATGGCAGAAAATCCTCTCTTTCCTAAGGTAGATGAGTTTTAAGAATCAAAACAGCACTAGGAAAGCAAACACTTTTGTTTAACTGTCATTAGCTAAGCAGATTTAGGTCTAATATCACTGTAAATACATAAGAAATGTGTTTATTTTCTTCCAATCAAGCTCTATTAGTTACCAAAGAAAACAACACTGGCACACTAGCTGTTACTTGAAAATAGAATCACATTAAGAACCACTGAAGAAGCCTAACACCTATGCACTCATCTTCTTTAAGGAGCAAACAGTCAGGTTTAAAATATCTTATTCATCCTGTTGCTGCTGAATTTTAAGAACAAGATGAACTGTAAACTAAACAGTACTATGCACATTAAAGTGATACAATTTACAGTTAGAAATTTATCACACTGTTAATATGACACAGCTTAACAGTTCAGGAATAAGCACAATCCTAGAAGAAAAGAGGGGGTCTAAGTTTGCTTACCTTTTTTTTTACCTTATAAAGTTTGCTGTTGACTTTGCATGCATGAATGAAGCGTGATTACTGTTGTCACCTAAAGGAACACCTTAAAGTTTCAACTTTTTACTACTTTTAGAATTTGATCACATTCTCCCAATCCTCGGAGGAGAGTTTTGAGGCAAAATAAAGCTTCATCTGTAAAAATTAAATTACATTGCTCAGGTCACCTACACAAAACTTTCACATCTTTTCAACAAATGGATTCACTACTATAACTTGTCTTTAAACATTCAAGGGATATTTACATAATGTTGTAAGCACTGAAAGCTCCTGTAGTGCTCACAGGAGGATATGAGGATTTCAACTGCATACAACTGTCATTAAAATTCAGCAAACTACAGAGGAATTGGAAAGTCACACAGAAGTTAAACAAAGGAAAATCAAAACAGGCAAATAGCCTTTAAGTTGAAGAAGGAAAGAAGGTGCTTTTGTACAAGACCCTTCCCATCCACAGTGGGATAAGAAGCAGCTCTGTCACTATTGGTCTATTGCTGTCCACTGTCCTTGGTTGTCCTCTTTTTCTGGAATAATCTGAAATGATGGAGGGACAAATTAGTAGCTCAGATTCAGCCATCTACCACTTCTACCTCTGCAGGCTTCTGCATGCAGTCTGCATTTTTTATTTGCAATCCATGTGTATTTTGGAGCAAGAATAGGCAGTTCAGTAGAGCAAACCTGCATCCTATGGAATAACCCTGCTCTGCACAGCAATTTGAATTTGATTCTCACTACATGTTTGATGATGAAGGAAAGCACATTGGCTATGCTTACAGAGTACCTCTGTTTTTCTCTGGGCAGACCCCAGAGTGTATCAGAGATTTGACAAATCTGGTTACATTCACAGATAAATGACCCCAGGCCATAAGTGCAAGTGAGCACTACCAAATGATTCTATTAATTTCAGTTAATACACCAAACTCACGTAAATGATTTGCTGTGATGCTGTGGGAGCTGAGGAGTAGCTCAGACAGGGAACAATTCTGTTTGAATAACAACTGCCTTCTTTTCATCTTAATCTCTGAAAAAATGATGAAGTAGACCCTGCAGGCAAGGGTATCCATGAGCCTGATAGGATTCCATTAGCTAACGCTTTGCTTTAATGTTTAAAGAGCCAATGAATCTGCTGTTTTGTTTAGCTCTATGAACTGTTTTTTATATGACAGCTGTTGGATACTGAGATTAATTTGTGGATTGTTGTGTGTCCTTACATCTTTCAGTGTACTAACCTTTAGCAGTCTTTTACAGTTAATATCAGCTGAAAAGGAATATTACCCTAAAAATTCTAAGAAAATAATTTTTTTCCTCCTTTCCTAGTGGCATTTATCAGACACCAAATTAGAAAAGAATGATATTAAAAGTTGTTTTCTTGGAGTTACAAGCTTTCACTTTTAATTCATTCTACAAGTAAAGCTGACAGGTTGTGACCAGCTTCATTGTTATCAGAAGATATTTTAGGGAATACAACTGTAAAAACATAAGCCAAGTATTCACATACACAGCCTAAATACTGGCTCTGCTGTTAGACCACCAATTACTGGTACATCCTTTGTTCTCCACGCATTGATCCCCACCAGGAACAGAAATGAAGTTCTTCTTGCCATGCAAAGCAAGGCAAAGTGCAGCATATAATAAAGTCACACCATCCATCACAAGAAGAGAAAAGACAAAAGAAAATAATTTCCTACCCTATAAAGTCAATGGCTTCCTCTTGTCCATTGTTTTTATCAAGATATGTAGCATAGAAAGGAAAGGCTTCAAGAATGCTAGCTTCTTGCTTTGCTTTGTCTCTTTTGATGCAGCATCTGAGCTATTGTAAATGCAGTGAGAGCAGGGTGGGTCGGTTTCTTCTCACTGGTCACAAGGGGAAACGGCCTCAAGATGCACCAGAAAAGGTTTAGGTTGGATATCAGGAAACACTTCACAGAAAGGGTTGTTAAGCACTGGAATAGGCTCCCCCAGGGAGGCGGTTGAGTCGCCATCCCTGGATGTGTTTAAAAACTGCTTGGATATGGTGCTCAGGGACATGATTTAGTGGCGGGTTTTTAGAGTTTGGGTAGTATGGTTAGGTTGTGGTTGGACTTGATGCTCTTTAAGGTCTCTTCCAACCAATTCTACAATTCCATGATTCTAGTATCCATTTTTGTATATCTTCTGATAACATTATCTCAGAGTTTATAAACACACACTACTTGCACATGATGTAGGTCTCAGCTGTTCCTCTGAATGATACAGGTTTCTGATATTCCTCAATAGGCAGTTTAGAGACAAAATGCTCCTGGAAGGACAAGGAAATCTCATCAGATTTCCCAGCACTGTGCTTCAGGGAACTCCTCATGTTAAATTCTGCTGTCAGGCCAAAGTTTTCATTTGTGTCTTATTTCTGTGCCCTGATTTGGAGTTACACTCATCTCCTGCACAATAAAATAATCCTTGTCAAAAGAAGACTTGGTCATTTCTTTGCTGCCTAGCATTAATGTAACTGTATCTAGTAGATGCAATGTGCTTATACCTGAGAGTAGAAATATGTGCTTAAAAATATATATGTATTTCCTGGCTTTGATAATGAAGACAGTAATACAATTCTATCAGGCTACTTGCCCCAAGCATTCTGGGTGATGATTTTCCATTTCCCACCAGACACTTCATCCAGACACCACCCAGCTGGAGAGTGATGAACAACGTCTGAACATTTCTTTCCAGAGAATACACTTCATTGCTTTCCCAGTGATTCTGTATCTGACAATAGTAAGACAGAAAGATTGCATAAATACAAAGAATTCTACAAGAAAGACTTCCATCCCTTTATATTTTCATTTGAGGTGTGAATGGCTTTCATCATGAGCAACCCTCATTTCATTTGATTGTTCTGCCTATGAGCATAGTTTTTTTTTTTTTTTTCAGTAAGACATTTCTACTGTATTTACTTCCTCTAAACTCTTTTATTTTTCTGAAGAACTATAATGATTCAGCTATACAGAGAATTACCTTACAACCCGTATTACTTTTCTCAAGCCAGTGAAACTACTCTCTAAAAGCAAGCCTCAAATATTCTTCTTCCAGTGTTATGCCAGCAGGTGTTTTCTAAATATGTGACTCTTGCTACAAGTGTAATTACCTTTTTGTAAGGAACATGAAAAGTGATTGACTTATAGTGCTAGAGAAGGACAGAGAATTGCAGGACATAACCACCCAATGTCAGCTGATAGAGAATCAGACAAATTTTTTTCTATTCACTATGATTGTAACTGCAGTCCTGTCCTTTTTAATACTTGGTATTCTTATCACAAAAAACAAATTTACAGGAGGTTGTTTTCACCTGAAAATTCATCCTGCAGAAAAAACACCAACTTATTTAAATGTTTGTATTGTCCAATAGCCTTCTCTGCAGTACCTCAGTAACAAAGAAGGAGCTCCTCATAAATATGTAAATTATGTGACATGCTTGGGTGAGAGGACATAAAGATGTGATTTATCCACAGCTTCTCCCTAAGAACTTTATGCACTTCATAAAGACAGAAACTACTATTTCAGACCTGAAGGGCAAGAGGAGATGAAATGTCTGGTCCACAGTCTCATAATTCAATTATAGAAATGTAAACAGACCTTAGGTCTTCTAGGAATGCTTTCCTTGAGAAGTAGTCAGAGGACTGAAGGCTGTGGTCCCCATGTGCACTGACATGGTTACCTTGGAATTACATCTTTAAGCTCTACTTACACTTTACTGTTTTCTGTAAATTTACTTTATTTAAAAATGCTTTCTATTGTTTAGAGCTTTATAGATCGGTGCAAGTGACCATTAGTGTCTACTGTACTCTATCTTTAAGTTATATTGAAAGTCTTGTAGGCATAGGTGAAAATGTACTTGTCAAAGAACTGCTGTCTGTAAAGCTGTCTAAAAATTCAGCCACGTACTATTTCCCATTTCCAACTTTACTCACCAACAAGCAAAGAACACCATGCTTACTTCAACATTCATAAGAGTCATCCAACCATTTATCCAAAAGCAAAGAAAGCAGGGAACTAGCACTCATAAAGCCATACCTCATCTTTCTGTTCTTTCCTTGGAATGTTGCTTTCTGTTCCAGCTGCCTGACTGAAATAGTTATACCTTGAAATTATCCTTCAAACCAGAACAAGTGAAGTTTACCTATTTGTAGAGGAAATCTACACACCACCACAAACACACCACACAGCTTGTCTAACAGCTGCAAAGTATAGCTTCTAAATGTGCACAAACAAGGCTTGTGCTAAATGTGTGATAGGGTGTGACAGCACTGGGCATTGTAAATTCAGAGTGAAAACTCTAGTAAACTTACACAAAAATCTAAAGGCAGCAAAACTTATTAAGAACTGAACATCATCATTTAAAACAGTTGCCATCATGATGTAGAGAGAGCACACAGGGCTCTTGTATATGACTGTATTCCAACAGCGTTGATGAACATTTCAAATACTGTTCTCTAGTCCATTAAACTCATTTTGTACCCATGGAATCCCATTATTGTAAATAACGATTTGTAAATAGACAAATGCATTTGGAAACAATCTACTGATGAAAATGAGCCTAAGTCACGCAGTTAATAACATCATAAATAAAACAACGTCAAAGGAAAAGCAAGATTCTATTAAAGAGATTTATTTTCATAATAGTCCCTATTGCAGTTGCACTTTGAAATCCCTTCTGCGTGCTCTAGGCATAAAATAACAACCCCTGTCAGAAAAAGTACGCGACCAAGGAAAAAGGTTGAAGCAAATATTCACGAAAGCGAAGTGACCTGAATGAGAATACACTGACCACAGGTAGGAAAAGACTGTGACTCTCTCAGTATGATGCCCAGATGCACACTTCTCCATCTTCAGACCTGGCAAACTCCCATGTGAATAGATGTTGCCAAGCACTTCAAGCTAAATCTTTCCTGCAATAGGAATCTGCTCTCTTCTGTATCTGCAACTCAGATAGCTCTCACACCTCCTCTAGCCTAAAGCTGATGCTGCCTAATATTGCCTGTACAGCTCTCACAGTGTCTAAAGATGTTCCAAGAATTACAAAGACTTACTTGTATCTTGCTTGGATACCAACACATCTGTCACAGAAGAGCAATGGCAATAGAAAATGAAGTGAACATGCTCAGCAAGCTTTCAAGTGAAGAGATTTTAACTACTATTCTTCATTTGCAGCCTTTCAGTATATTAATACCAAAGCAATTAACTACTAATTCACAGCTAGAACACTCACAGGTGCAAAGGGCTGTATTCATTTAAAAATTTGTGATAATCTAAAAGAGTCAGTAAAAATGCATAATTTGTTTTGGCTATACCAGTATGTCTGAAATGTACTACTGTGCTGATGCTTTCATCCGTGTTAACAAAAAATAATAGCTCAATCAACAAAGCAGAGCATGAAATATTCCAACACATAAATTAATAACACTTCTATAGAAGAGTACTGAGCAGGCTGCTAATGTATTTGGATTTGTTTCAGAGTTATTCATCATGTCTGGGCAGACAACAGCAAACTGCATTTAAACTTTAAACTTATTTTGCAAACAGTAAGATGTTATGGAAAAATAATAAAGTGGGATCATTTAGACTAATATTTCAGATTAGTTCCACAAATGCAATGAGCGTTTGTAAAATATTTTCTTTTGGCAAGGTAAAAATTTTCAAGTAACTTGAATGCTTGAAAGACAACTGAAGTAATCAGGATGGGATCACCACTGGCTTGGGTGCAGAGCTAGGTAAGGGCAAGAGAGGAAGGTATTCACCACACAGAGACACTTGTGAACTTCACAGGGATTCACCAAAGGACAGGACAATATTAAGGCTATTTTTTCCTGTTTTCTCTTTCAGTCTGTTTCTATATTTCCTTCTGCCTCACAGCAATATTTCAGCAGTAAAAAAAGGCAAAAAACCGTGAATTTGTCCTGCACTTTCACTCAGGCTTATAGTTTGTCTTTTTTGCACTACGTTTTTAAATTCTACATTCCCTCTACTCTTTTAAATATATCATTTACGTATGATTTGGTGTCTCCATAGTACATCTATACTTTTCTCCAGCTAATCTCTCTACTACATATAAGTCAAACAAGAATATAAATCTGAGAGAGAAAAGGATCCACTGTGTCTTGGAGATTTCCTGCATTTGAGATGAAGCTAAAGGCAATAACATAATATTTTCGCTTGGCTTGTTTCTTACAGAGGAGAAGCAAAACTCTCTACAAAGGTACAAGGAAATTTCTTCAAGCTTCAGACACCAGAGACTAAAATACTTTCTGAGCAGCACTAGAAGATTTCCTAAAAGTGGGTCTTGCTTTAATAGTACACCATGTCCACAAAGGTGTTACTTTCCAGAATATCCCCTTAGGGTACAACAGATCTGAATTTTCTCTCCTTCACAGAAGTGAAAACAAACTAACAAAAAGTTTTCTTATAATGCCTGAAGATTTTATTATGCCTAGTATGGAAAAAGGCAGTTGCTTTTGCTTTATTAGCCAGAAATGGGTCAATTGCTAGTATTTCCTTAGCAGGATGTTGATTACTTTTATGAGCAAGTCATCAAGGATTTGCTACATTTTTCTGGAAAATCTACATTATGAAGAAAACCCTTTAACACTTTCCTTTATCTGCACTCTAGGTGAATAATCCAGTGCAAGAGTTATTTGCTTCAAGAGAGTCTATTCAAAGTGTTTGAGATGGTATAGAACTAATGGTTGTATTTTTTTTTTTTTTTTTTTTTTTTTTTTTTTTTTATGATGAGTGTCACTCTTTTAACAGAAAACACTTGAAGCCAGGTTCCCTTGATAAGGAAAAGCTCTGACTAACCTTAGAGCCACAAGAAGGTTAATACAGGAAGATACAGATGCCCCGGGTCCCCAGATTTCTAATTTTTTTTTTTTTTTAATTATTTTTATTTCTAATTTTAGGTTAGAAGAAATGACTGTATGAATAGTTATTTTATATTCAAGCCCTGACAAGTAAAGGAGAAAATGCTTGAGATTCTAAAGGTAAACACTTTGGATGAAATATACAGTGAGCAATCACAGTGCCATGGATGGTAAGAATGGCAGTAAGGTAAAGTGGTGACACTCCTGGAGAAGATGAAAAAAGGACAGGAGATGCAACAGGTTTCTGCTGATGGAGCAAGACTACGTGCACTTAACAGATGCCACAGAGAAGGCTGCACTGCATTTTTATATTAGCGTTCACAAAATTTATGGCATGCTTCACTCAGTTGATGTTAACAGGTGGGTAGAAACAGAGGCCGGAACAGTTAAAGAGCAAAATAAAGAATGGATAAATTGACTGTACTCAAGTCAACGGGGCATACTGAGATGTACCCTAAAGCCAAAGAAATCTTTTATGAATTACTGTACTCAAAAAGTCACAGAAAGGTCATGTGGGGCAAGCACTGTGCTTCTGCTAACTTGGACAAAATCCAGAACATTAACATATCATCTAGTTTTATACACTGGAATGTACCAGAGTAAATGCTTTGTGATCAATTTGCAAGTACAAAGAGGAAAGGAAGGTGATCCAAAGGATGTAGCATTTTCATATATATTGAAAATGATTGAAAAGAACATCATGGTTAATTATTCACCATGGTTATTATAGACAAAATTATGAATAGCTGGGAATGATCAGAAGCTAGACTGGAAGTCAGAGATACTTTCTACTTCACAACAGGGACAGTGAATTAACACAAGCCTGAGAAGTTTAAAAAACACAAAACTGAATACTTACAGTAGCATGTTGGGTAAATAAATGCTAAAGAACATTTAAAAATGACTTATCACAGCAATAAAATGAAATAGCAGAGAATGACTTCCAGCTCTGTATTTCTCAGATTATGTATCATATATTTTAAGTATTTTGCTTACAGTTTCCAATACACCTGTATTTTTCTTTCAGATTTTCATACACTGGTTTGTTTCAAAAGGCATTGCCAGATACCTATCATAATTCCTTCTAGCTCAGAGTTTCATGAAAACCTTCAAGATATACAACGACTTTCATAAGATCTCAGCTCACCTTGCGGTTAGGCAGCTTGATCTTGATTTGTTGTGGTACTCCTAGAAAAACATCAATTTGGAAATTAGATCTAAACACATCAGACTGACTGTCCATGGACAGGCTTATTCTTCTATTTCAGGAGAATATGGAACAGTATTTTTTGAAATATTGTCTTTTAAGAAAGAATATTTTTGTAGCAGGTGTGGATGAATTAATTGTGCGTTTTTTGACAAGATAACATGGAAGATTGTGTTTGTTTGTTTGTTTGATTTTTGTTTTGTTTTGTTTTTAAATAATGTGCCATTCCTTCAGGAACAATAGCCCTATTTAATTCTGTAAAGATGTTTAACCCTATCACCATAACTTTATTTATTTATTTATTTTCCAGAAAAGGACCGGAGTCAGGATATCTTGGTTATTTTTTCCCCACTCAGTTTCATCCATGCTCACCATCTCCTGGGCCCCATTTGGGATGAATTCTCTTTGTTGATTGAAATTAAATGGAAAGCATATATGATTTTGGGAAAGGAATTGTTGAAGAGAGATGCATTTTCCTCTTGTCTTTAAAATGAGTTTTTAAAAAGTGTTTTAGCTGTTTTGCAAAAGTAGGGCTGCTCCAGCAAAATGTAGGTACCTGGGAAGCATCACATAGACATAGAGGAAGATGCTGTCTGCTCCTAAAAAGCAGCTTTTAATTCACCAGCTTTCATAACACTCAAATGATGTTGAAGGGCTGCTGAACTAATCAATTACTGCCTGTAGCAGTCTCAGAGGAACAGCTGCAGAGATAGATCGAACATTACAGAGATCACAGGTGTTGGGATTCTAAGTCAATCATCTGTGCAAGCACAAACAGTTATTGGGCAGGGTCTCACATAACACACTCTCAGACAGCGTGGAAACAGGCTTACCACAGTCATTTTAGCCATTACTTACATTAGCAACCTACAATTTCTAAATATCTTATCTGCAGAGCCAGAGTGTAATGGTAACAAATCTCTAAAAAAGTCAATTAGGTTAGAACCCTAAACTAGAAGAATTATTTGTGTAGGCAAGCAGCGATTGTAGGAACAGGAGTCATTCTTACTTTTCATAAGATTTCCTTTTTTTTTTTTCTTTTCTTTTTTTTTTTTCTTTTAATTTTCAACCTCGAAAAATACACAGCATTAACAGTGCTTTATTTCTATCACAAAGCTGTAAAAACAACATGTCAAGTGAAAGCTCAATGGCATGATATTCCTGGTATGCGCCACAGAAATGCAAATCACTTCCTTTGCATTCGTGATCAGTGAACATCTCATATTAAATAATGAAATCAGTAAAGAAATTATGATTACATTTTTACTCAAAATGAAATAGCAGGAAAAAAAAAAAATTACCTTGCACCTCAAATTATTCTGTTTGGTTTAGAGGAAGAAGTTTGTCAGGATATCAAATTCTGCATCTTTTATATGTGCTACAGTCGGTGCTACAGCTGGAAGGATCATCATGGTAAAAAATGAGAGAAAAAACAAACAGGGAAGGAACACTCACCTTTATCCAAAGATCTAGGTTGGCAAAAAAGACTCCAGAGAGGAGCTGTGAGCCCTTAAATGGGGGTCTAGGAGAGGTGCAGCCAGGCTCCACCTCTTCTTGTCACACAGGAGAATTGCCTTCATCTGTGCTCCCAAGGCTTACTTGGTCCTTGCCTCAGGTGATCAATCAGTGGTTCAGGCCGTGACTCAACAGTTCCCATACAGTATGGTATTCTGCAAAATAATCTGTACTATTTAGAAATTAAAAGAAGAATAAGGACATGTATAAAATGAGATAGAATATCTTTTGGAGCAAGCCAGTACTAATCAAAATGTGACACACAAACACTTGCAAAGTGATACCCTGCCAAGATGAAAATGCTCTGTTGTCCTAATGTCTTCTGTAGTGCAGAGGAGATTTGAGCTATTACAAAAAAGGCATGGCAAATCCTCGAATGTTACCTTGACCTCATTGCAGATGTCTGGACAAAGTGAAGGAACACAAAGTGATGGTCTAAGCAACTCACTCTAAAAAATAGCAGAAATGGTGTAATTTTTCCTGAGACTGTAGAAGAAGACAGTAAAATTCTGAATGCCATTTCTCTTGTTAACAATTTGACCATAGAATCATAGAATAGCCTAGGTTGAAAAGGACCATAATTATCGTCTAGTTTCAACCCCCCTGCTATGTGCAGAGTCACTGACCACCAGAACAGGCTGTCCAGAGCCACATCCAGCCTGGCCTTGAATGCCTCCAGGGGTGGGGCATTCAAGTGATGTATTGTTTGTGAACATAACAAGTAGATAAAGCGTTACTCTTGTTCCAGATTATGAACAACTTTCAAAAAATCCTTTTCATGTAAAGAGTCATTATCATGTCATTTCACAAAACTGGCAGTGACTAGGTCAAATCTGTTTAGAAGTTCTGATATCACTGAAATCAAAGGCTAAAATTCTATTCATTTTGGTGCAGCCATGATTTTATCCAGCTGTACACAACAGTTAACTGATAGGGAAGCTGCAGTGCATCCTAAGAGAAAGGAACTATAAAGCAATCATTCATGGTTTTGTTTGAAGTCCAGAGAGATATCCAGATGTAAGGGATATCTGTGAGCGTAGAGAAATGCATGCTGCAAGCCAGTCAGGGCTTTCCTAATTCAATATGAGTCTCATGAAACTGAGATGATAAATACCATAAAGAAAGTGATGCTAAGGCTGTAAAAAGCAAATAAGCCAGAAAAGTGCTGCACTCACAGAAAATGCAGTATGAAGAAATATGTTGATATGTTGCTTTCTGACAGTGTTCCTTTTGGCTAAAACTTTTGTAACTTGTCAGCATCATAATCCTGAATTTGAAGTCTATTACTGTTAGAAATGAGGATTTTCTCTCCTTTGTCTTGAGAGAAAAGTGCTCAGTAGCTGTCCTTCTCCTTTTGCTACGTTAGAGGAAGTCCTTGGGCAGCTACACTGAGACAGACTGGAGGACAAATCCACATGGAAAAGAATTATTCTCCAAACATATTTTTTTCACGAATCTCAAGCCAACACAAGGTAGAGCATACAGCTGTGCTAGAGAACCTAATAAGAGGTATAAACTAAGGGCCATCTGCCTCACTGACACTGCAGTAGGTGTTATTTGTAATACTCACATGACTCATTAAAAAAGACGAAGTAGAGATTGTACTAGATTAGATAAGTGGAATGCAATTGTTGGTGACAGTTTTACTCTGTCTAATAACATTCACCTCACCACATTATGATCTAGAGCAAACTGAGTTGGCTCAAACATAAATAAATAAAATCTAACAAATCTTAATCTATTTTTAATGCTCAGATAATTTTTCAAAATACTCATGCTGGGGAGATCTGAGATCTTTTGTTCCCAAGGGCTTCTTTATTTTTCACAGAAACAGAGAAGGTGGAGTGCTAGGGTCATGATTCCTCATAACCCATACTTCCTCTTACCCCTATTCCTCATACCTTCCTCAGGCAAAGATGATACAGGTTGTACAACAAAACCAGATTTCCATACATACTATAAGCTTACAGCAAGAACAAAACTGTCAAAACCACAGATGAGGGTTTGTATGCTTTCAGAAATACTGTATGATGTAAAACCACAGTAAATGACTGTTGGACGGTGAACTGTTGAAAATACTGTGCAATTATACCTGATGAAGAGTTGTACTTATCTTAAGTGCTGTTTGAATTAGCCGTGGCAGATTGCTGTGACAAGTCCGTTGTCCATTTCTACTGCAAAACGGAAATTCATCCAATGCCTGAAAGATTAGAAGAAACAAAGTAAAATTGTGAATAACTGGGAAGAAAAAATACATATATAAAAGGGAAAAAAAGCTAGAAAACTTGGCTGATATGATTTGACAGTGATTTTTCTGTACGACCCAATTCTTTAATTTAAGAAGTCAGAAGAATCCCATCTAAGCTTTCTCTCTAAAAATATCTTCATTAAGCTTTTTCATTTATATGTTCAGTAAAATCTCAATTTCGCTTTACTTTCATTAGTGAAACATTATAGCGAACCATCCACTAAATTTTCATGTTCAGATTCACAATCAACTCATCAGCTGAAACACAGTAGCTCTCCAAAGACAAGATTAATCTCATGACCTTGTAAAATTGTATATGAGCTAATTGTGTAGGCTCCTTTCAGAGTCAGTAGAGCAGGATTCACCTGCTGTTTTAAATAGGTATCCCAAGATGAGATGAAGTGCATCTCAAAGACACCTGTTTGTTTGCACTGACTAACATGAACTTAAACAACCTGCTCAGAGAGACTGCTCTGATACAGATACCTAAATTTAGAGCACTAAATCCTATCCAACATTCACTGTCAACCCATGGTTTCCCATTGGGGGTAACCTAGCACAATAAAAGACAGATAAGCAACATTACTTAACAATTTATGTGTCAACCCCAGATATGGATAATTGCTGAAGTTCAGCTACATTGACAGCTTCACTTGCAGAGCTGCAATAACTTGCTGGTGAGAGTGAACCACTAATCATACAGTATCTTCCAGCTCATTCGTTATGCAGAAAGACTGGGAGAAACAAATTAATATTTTTTTCTTTTTTAACATCCTGACATTATCAAGGGCTTGGAGGGAGAAATAGTGGTCTACAAGCCATAAAATAATCAACATTTCATGGCACAGTATTATCCCATCTTTTTTTCCCAATCATATTCAAGCTAGATCCAGTTATCCAAACTCCTAACTTCTTAATTTTTATCTCTTGGATATGTGAACAAAGAAGAGGAGGTACCAGACTGACATCTATGGCAGAAAAGCCAAAGATGGATTCCGAGCCCTGCGTAGGTTATTGTATGTCCAACATGTTTTCATCTCTCGGTGTCTCTGTAGAATTTTTCTTCTGGGATTTGGCAGCTATCTTATTGTAACAGCTTTTAAAATGTTCTGTTCTTCATGTTGCAGTCTTGTATATACTGGTAAAATGAGTGGCATTCAGAATGAACTTTTTTCTCCTCAGAAGGTGTATAAGCCATAGTGAATACAAAATGGCCACCTATCTTCTAAATACTAATTTGCTTTGTGATACGAGAAATATTTCCCAAGTAGCAGCTTTACCTGCCACTGCAACAGCTGGACTTACTCCGTGTTGCCTGTGGTTGTCTTTCATGGCATAGAAGGGAATGCTTAATTTAAAGGAAATCTAATATGCAAAAAGTATGCACAGCCTAGTCTTACAATCCCTTTCAGATCACTATTCTTTTTTTTTCTTATGAATTCTCAACTCTCCTTTCAATTCCTTTTTTAAACTTATATAGTTTTTTTTTGCTGAATTCATCCAAAAATTGTGTAACTGAATGGATAAAGATACTATCTTGGAATCTATATACATGTATTCCTCTATTAATGTCCTCAAAAAAAAGTACATAAGTGGCCAGTCTGTATCTGAACACAAGCTGATGTAAATGAACGACGGCCTTTCATAGCATTTTCTTTAATAACTTTTTCTGATCCAGAATTTCAGATAGTAGACTAAAGCAGGACTAGCATAAAATGCTGGAGTTGAGAGGTTTTAGGAGCTATACCAATTTAAGTCTAAAGGGCACATAGAGCTTTTTTACCTGAAAAAGCCTGAAGAGCCTTCAAGATTCATACTGAAGCAAGCGGTCATAAACCCAGGCAAAGTAGGCTTCCTTGTTCAGGATATTCACAGTGAGGCATCTAACCACTAGAACCAATTAACACTTCTGCAGCTTACCAGCTTTCAGGAGATGAATTTGGAGAAGATGCTTTTTCAGTCTGGTTTAATGAGCAAAGCCTGTGGAGATCACTGAAGCTGTACTTCCAGCATGGGTTTGGAATTGCTGAAGTAGATTTATTGAAATGAGCATAAATGTAGCCTAGCTGGATGGAGGGAAATTGCTATGGTGTAAAAAGACTGTAATGTGAACCTACTTCGCAGGATTTTTTTCAGACTGGTGGAAATGGCCTAAAGCAAGGAGGGGAAGGAGAAGGGAGAACAGTTCACATGGCAGCATAAAATCTGCTTAAGTGTCAATTAGTAATGTGGGTGGGACAGTGAGTCAGCACACCTCACCTGTGGCTATTCAGTAGCTCTGAGGTAGGATGGTGTTCCCTTCTGCTGCTAGAAGATTGCAAGAAAAGCAAGCACTGATGAAAAGGAGACTGCAGTCCTCTCAGATCTCTGTATTCTCTCTTTGTGTCTCTTCAGCAGGAGAATGAACTGTGGTGGGTGTCTTCAGAAAATATTCAGTTTGTGAAAGCTCAAATTCATTTAGCCTTGCCTACCACAGTAAGGAAAAAATCCCAGTTTACAGGTTTTTCTTTTTGTTTGTTTGTTTTTTTTTTAAGTCAGCATCTGTTTAAAGATTTCCAGGATAAATTTTACAGAGTAGCCCTGAGGCAAATTGTTCACTTCAGAGCGTAAGATAGAAAGTTCAGCAACATTTGCACAAAATCTGATTCCCCTGGGAACACCTCACACCTCCTCTGACATGTAAGCAAAATGAGTTTGTTCCACCAAATCT